GATGGAGCCGGCCGGCCCCTGCCAGGCGCCGCTGCTCCCCGCCAACGACTCTTACCACGGCCGAAACTGCAGCGGCGAGGAAGGGATCTACCAAGATGCCACCCCCCTCTCCGGGAAGATCGTGCTCGCCGTCGTCCTGGCGCTCGTCACCCTGGCCACGGTGCTCTCCAACGCCTTTGTCATCGCCACGGTCTACCAGACGAGGAAACTCCACACGCCGGCCAACTATCTCATCGCCTCGCTGGCCGTCACCGACCTCCTCGTCTCCATCCTCGTCATGCCCATCAGCACCATGTACACTGTGACCGGCAAGTGGACGCTGGGCCAGATCGTCTGCGATATCTGGCTGTCCTCGGACATCACCTGTTGCACGGCGTCCATCCTGCACCTCTGTGTCATCGCCCTGGACCGCTACTGGGCGATCACCGACGCCGTCGAGTACTCCACGAAACGGACTCCCAAGCGGGCAGCGGGCATGATCGCGCTGGTGTGGGTCTTCTCCATCTGCATCTCCATGCCCCCTTTGTTTTGGCGGCAGGCGAAGGCCGAGGAAGCCTCCCACTGTGTGGTGAACACAGACCACGTCCTCTACACCGTGTACTCCACGGTGGGAGCCTTCTACTTCCCCACTCTGCTGCTGATAGCCCTCTACGGGAGGATCTACGTGGAAGCCAGATCGCGGATTTTGAAGCAGACGCCAAAGAAAGCAGGTAAAAGACTAACGCGGGCGCAGTTAATCACAGACTCCCCGGGGTCGTCCTCCTCCGTCACGTCCATAAACTCCAAGGCCCCCGAGGGATCCAGCGAAACGGGCTCTCCCGTGTACATGAACCAGGTGAAGGTGAAGGTCTCGGATGCCCTGCTGGAGAAAAAGAAGCTCACGGCCGCTAGAGAGCGGAAGGCTACAAAGACTTTAGGGATTATTTTAGGAGCCTTCATCGTCTGTTGGCTGCCCTTTTTCATCATCAGCCTGGTGTTGCCTATTTGCAAGGGCGCTTGCTGGTTCCACATGGCCATCTTTGACTTTTTCACGTGGCTTGGATATCTCAACTCCCTCATCAACCCCATCATCTATACTATGTCTAACGAAGACTTCAAACAAGCTTTCCACAAACTCATACGTTTCCGATGCACAAGCTGAAAATTTTGAATGCGATGTGTTGTTCTCCGGGGCTGCCCCCATGCAGCCCCGTGCCCGACGCCACAGGTAGGTGCGGGCTCCCCGCGCCCCCGCCGCGGCGAGCGGCGATGC